ACAACTAATAATCCCTTGTAAAACCATTACTAAACAGGCAGCGACTACAGAGTGAATTTTTGGGGTGGGGGGAAGGGACAACCCTCTGTACACAGTGCTCTCAATCTTCCTCAAATTGACTCCCTAAACTGTATTCAGCCTTTTAAAAAATGTCAGCTAGTACCAGTGGAAGCTTTTAAAATGCCTAAATTGCACCACATGTTTTTCGAGGGGAGGGGGGAAAGAGAAGGGTTGCAAATGGAGACAGAAGGGCCAATATTATCCTCTCTGGGGCTGTGAGCCTCCCTTGAACCCCCCAAATGAATTCTGTCTTTTCAAAAAGCCACCACTATTGACAAAGCTTTTGAAAAATTACACTGCAATGTCACACACAATGTGTCTGTGTGTTTGTGTGTGAAAGAGAGAGGCTGCTTCTATACTGCAAAATTAATATAGTCTGACACCACTTCAACTGTCATAGCTCAATGCTATGCAATTGTGGGCTTTGTAGATTTGTGAGTTATTTAGCCTTCTTTGGCAGAGCTCTGGTGCCTCACCAAACTACAAATCCCAGGATTCCATAGATGGATCTATGGCATTTAAAGCAGTGTCAAACTGCATTAAATCTGTAGTATGGCTGCAGCCAGAGAAAGAGGGTGCACTTGAAATCTACCCCAAATGTTGGGATACATTTGTCAGGAATGGACATTATTTGTCCTAGGACACAAACTTTGAGTGTATGAATTCAGAGGCCAGGAAACTCATAAACTGGCAAAGCCACTGCCTGTTTAGCAATGGTTTTACAAGGGATTATTAGAAGTCACACAGATAACACATCTGCCACATTTTATCATCCTGCACCATATTGTCAAAATGTTCCATATGAGAACCTTTTCAACCAAGCCCAAGATATCGAACACCACTAACAAAGGGTGAAACTGCTTTTGAATTTCATAACCCATCCTCAAACTCTAGATTACCCTCAAATAGTTTGAAGCACTGAAATCCTGAATATTCTCTACTGGTGGGATCTAAAAGGAATCTGTGTACATCTAATTTTTTCTGCAGTTGATAGATGTCACTGCCAATCACAATTTATTTTTACTTTCTGCCACGTGTAAAGCTTCTTTAGCTTTTGAGCTGGAGTTGCCTTGCTTGGCACAAACACCTGGTACTAGGTGGAGTCCCAGGAAGGAAACGATTTGTAATTTGTTTGCCTAAACTCAGCCAAGCTGCACTCTCAGAAGCAAAAATCTCTGACAACTGAGGTGGAAAGAGGAAAAACCCTACATAAATGAAGGGCATATTTAGCAAACAACAATACAGCTATACCTCTTAGCTTTAATTAATAGAATTAATACATTACATACCCTAATGTGTATGTGGGGGAGAAAAACCAATTCAATTTTTAGACTTATTCTTGCTCTCTACACATGAGCTGACAAAGGAAATGCTATCTTCAATTTGTTTTCCAGCTATATGATTATAAGATTATATTCTTGATTTGTGAAGCTAGTGCAAAAACACATGAAAATATAAGGTGATTTATTTCATTACCTTGGTCAGCTGTTGTAAGATTCTAATTGTAATACCTGCTCTCCTGACTAAAGGGGAAAAAAATAACATTATAGACACAGCCAAGCAAGCCTACAAAACGGAATACAGCATTAGCAAATGGGGATGTGTCAGCCATGTTTTGCCCATATAAAGTTGTGGCTCAAGATGACTAAAGGCCTAAACAGACTGCCAGAAATAGTGCACATTAAATTGAGGCACTGCACTGGCTGTGCTAGGGAGTCATGGGAATTGTATTTTTTTCTGAGACATTGAGCCTTCTCTGTCAGAGAGCTCTGGTGCCACAATAAATTACAGTTCCCATGATTCCCTAGCACTGAGCCAGGGCAGTGCCTCAATTTAATGTGCACTATTTCTGGCAGTCTGCTTAGGCCCTAAGTCACCTTGCTTAGAAAATAACGTCCTAAAATAGCACCATGACTACTTTCCCAAGAGACACTAGTGCATATTCCACACAGGCACCCCAATTCTGAGCTGTTTCAGAAGCTTCTCTTAACAGAACCTACAAATGATTATTTTTAAAACTTCTTCAGGTTCAAAAACATGCCTTGAAGAATTTGTTAAAGGACCTACAGAAATAATGCATATGAAGAGGAATCAGGAAAAGAAATTCTGCATTCCTACTATGCATCTTTTTCCCTTTGAACTGTTCTCATGACATAACCTCAAACCAGTTTTGAACTTGGGGGAATGTCAAGGGTAGTTAAGATATTCTGTGGAGGGTATTATCCAAGGAGAAAACTGAAAACAAAACAAAGCAATAAAATAAAATAAAAATATGGGGTGTAACTTACATGCTCTTCTACAAACAGCTGAGATT